GTTCAAGGAGCTTGCCTCAGTTTCCTCAGCTGTAAGAGAGTACTTACATTATATGGCAGATGAAGAAAGATTAAGTAAGACCTAGACAGTGTTTAGGTCATTGCTGGCACTCAGGAAACACTAATTCTCTCAGCCCTGCAACCCTGAGTCCTGGCTGGCTCAGCTGTGTTACAGTGAAGCAGTAGCCCGCAGCCCAGTCACCTGCGCTTCCTCTTGCACAAGCCCCTCTGCGGATGCTGCGGCATTGTCTGCTGGTGGAGTTTCAGCTTGTTTTTTCTGGAACCACCTCTTCCAGGAAGGAGGAGCAATGATAGGGGCATATGTGTTTGTACTCGCTAACAGAAATTGCACAATGCTGACCCCACTTCCTCCCTCGGACCTCCTTTCCAGCATTCTGCGGTCTCCTCCATTTCCAAGGGTTTAAGGAAGAGTCCTTTTCTCTCCCAGATTCCCCATATCAAGTTAAGCACAAGTGGTTTTCAACTCCACTCCTCTTCTGACGCACAAGTCCAGGCAGTTTCTGTGGCCTGTTTCTCTTGCTGTGAGCGAGCCTGCTCGGGCCCTGGCTAGAGACAGGACAAACAGAGATGGGCAAGGATGCTCTTAGTTGCCTGGTGGCAGGAGCTGAGACAGAGGTGAGGTTTTGCAGAGAAAGGCAGGGATTAGAATGTTGTAACACTCCCAGGAAGGTGCAACCTGAAAAGAACAAGAGTTGTGCATGACCTGATGAGCAGCCTGGCTGCACTGACGCCTCCTGCTCCTTTGAGTCCCCACCCAGTGTCTCAATGTGGTTGTCCAATGTTTCATGATGATGACTGAATGACTGAAAGCACTCCGAGAGCTGGACCCTTGTCTTATAGGGCTGGCCTGTGCCTGTCCGCCCTACCCTGCCCTGCCCAGGGCACAACTGGTGGCTGCAACAAAGGCCAGCTGATTAGGAGATGGAGGGGTGGGGGAAGATCCTGTGGAGAGGTAAGGTTGGAGGGCAGGCGGGTGGGCCAAGGGGCCAGGAGGAACAGTGTCAGGATGGGAGGCCGGAGAGGGCACAGGCAGAAGGGTCCAGGGAGGAGGGGCTCTGTGGAGGAGTGGACCAACCTGAGGGTAAGGACCAGGGACAAGATCGGATGGAGGCAGGCTGTGGCAAAGTGACTTCTGAGATACGGTGGGGGCCCTCCCCAGAGATGGAGAGGCCAAGGAGCTGAAAGGACCTCACTCAACACGTCAGACACGGTGTTAAGGCCTTCGGGGGCCATGGCGAGTAGCAGCCAGAATGAGGAAGGAAACAGGACAGGCGTGGGCCCAACCACCTCACCTTGATTTGTCTGTGGGGCTGGGGCTCCTCATTCCCTGTGCCTGAGTCCCCACCCCACTGTCACTCACATCACTCAAAGGGGCCTTCAGAGCCAATGGGTGTTCCTCCTCAGTGACTTGTCCCAAAAGCTGAAATCTGAGATCCCTCGATCCAGCCCAGCTTCCATCACCTTCCTGTTTTTGTGTTGGCCAGTTGGTCAGAGCTCACATCCATGGAGATACCCTGGGGACAAAGGCTCCATAGTCTGCCTCATTTTGGCACCCTGAACTGTTGGGCAGTTGCTCTAGAAGGAGAAATCCCACTTCAGGTGTGACATGCATCTCACAGTTGGGCCCTCTGCTGTGAGGAGGCCAGGGCGAGGCTGGGCTCCTCAGCATTCACACCCCTTCTCTGTGGCCATTCTCCAGTCCTTAAGCCACTCTCTTACCTGTCTGCTGATAGCGTAGGGAGTTTCTGGTGACAGGAGCGGCTGCGTGAGGATCTGGGAAGGGGAGGGGCCTCTGGGCCCAGGGCTGCTCCTAGCTTAGAAGTGTAGGACACAAGGGCCAGAGCAGGCCTGAGACTGGAAGATACAACCCCCCTTAGCTGGAGAAAGAGAGGTCCCCATTTGCACGCAGTCAAATCTCTTCTCTGAATATCCTTAGCTATTTGCTTAGAGCTATTTGTCTGGGCTCTTTCTGGAACTACCGAAGAATTTGGTAGCACTGGTTGTCTTGCCTCTGGGTTGGAGACTGGGCACTCAAGGGCAGGGATGGGAGGGGACTTTTCACTACTTTTCACTCTATACCCTTCTATACCTTTTGGATTTTGAGCCACTTGAATATGTGACCTTTTAAAATTTAAATTAAAAATGCAAATAAAAAATATCTTTTCCATCCCTCCCTGGGATCCTTTGTGGGATTAATCATCTTCTGGGGACTGGCCAAGCTGGTGAGGGTAGAGGCTGCATGTATCTCGGCCAGCCCCTCAGTGTCCCACCATAGCTAACCTCAGGCAAGCTGGCAACTCCTTCACAGCTCCGGTACATTCTTTCTTTCTCTCTGCCTGCTGCTGGTTTCATGGTCTCCCATGCCAGTGGTAACACCACAGTAGTACTTTTGTAGTCCCACCTCCCTTCCCACAGGTCTCTAGTCTGTTGACTCTGCCTCCTGCCATCTCTCCTTAGCCCACACCTCCACTCCCAACACATCCTGAATGTGGTATGTTGGCTCTTCTGATGCCTACCTCTCCGGGTTTACCCTCCCCATACCTCAGTCCCAGTGAGCTTCCTAAAATACAAATCTTATCACACTACCCTCCTGCTTAAATCCTCCTGGAGCTGACAATGTTAGTGCTCTGCCTACATCCCCCTGGATGCCCTTCTCCATTTTTGTGCATGATGCCCCCTTCAGTGTGCTTTCGATGTTGACACCTTTGGCTCTTGGAGGGCTGCCCTTAGCTTCATGGAGCTGCTTTACCCCTGAGCCACAGCATAATCGGTGACTGCCCTGGATTGGGGCTGTCCTGAAGCCTTACACTCCAGAGCTGTCTGGGTGGCTGGCTTGCTTGTCTGTCCCCACCCTCCACCCACCCACTGGCCTCCTCTGGGACTACTTCCTTAATAGTATGTCACTCAGCAACTAAAATGAATCCCTCAGTGGACACCTTCTGCCCACAACCTAAATTTCAATCACCTGCCTTTATTCATCTTTCTGGAAATCTATTCCATATCACATCTAAATTTTACCCACACCAAAGTGCTAGCTGTTCTGATCTGACACATTTTTAGATCTTAGTATCTGCCTTTTGTTTTAATTTAAAAAAATTAAACCTCTTCTCTATCCCTCTCCCCTTATTCTTTGCATCTCTGGTCGGTATAATTTCCTTTAATTCTCTAAGGAGCAAGTTGCTTCCTCCTGCATTCTCAGGGTACTCTGTGTAAATGTATAGGATCCATCTTGCCAAATTTACCTAGTCTTCCCTGGGGCCTCACATGGTGCTGGAAGAGAGTAGGGATTAAATAAATATTTTTTGAATGAATTTCGATCTCCCAAATGTCCTAAGACTCTCCATTATTGGGCTCTCAGTCTTTTTTTTTTTTTTAAATATATCTTAACTGACTTCAGAGAGAGGAAAGGAGAGGGAGAGAGAGAGAAACATCAATGAAAGTCATCATTGATCGGCTGCCTCCTGCATGCCCCCCACTGGGGATGGAGCCTGCAACCTGAGCATGTGCCCTGACCAGGAATTGAACCGGGATCTCCTGGATCCTAGGCTGATGCTCAACTACTGAGCCACGGCCGGCTGGGCCATTGATGGCTTTTAATGGTGGCTGTGGAAGGCTGGAGGAGATCCTGAGGCCCTTATTCTCCTTATTATAGCATATTATAGCATATAGCAATTGCCCCTGCCCTCAGCAACCTCAGGGGATAACAGGAACTTAGGGTGGTCAGTGGAAGGGGGTGAGAGTGTAGTGAGGAAATCTGATCACTGTGATCTAAATGGGGTGCCTGGGCAAATGGTGGGGTTTAGGTACACAGTTCCAGTCATGTGCAGATAAGCCAGCTCTCTCTCTCTTTTAAAAAAAGCCCTGATTGGTAGCTTTTGTTGATTTCTCTGGTATATATACATATATCCCACTAAGGCTGACTTCAAGCAACCACCATGCAGTCACTGACTGCAGACTTGGCAGAACTGTGCATAGTCAGCTCTCACAAGGCAGTGAGCTGCCCCAGCACACCAAAGGAACAGTAACCAGGGCTGTCCCCAGAAAGCCACAGGAAGATTGCAGCTGCTGCAGATACTACAGGCAGCCTCTGACTTTTTTGAAGATTAGCGATGGTCTCTGCCCCTGTGATTTACATCAGCTATCCTGTTACCTCAGTGGCTATCTAGGCTGCTGGCTGGAAGGCTCCCCCAGAGTGGCCCTCGGCTCCTCTTTGGAACACACCCTCTGTTGCCTTGCCCCTAGAGCAGGCAAGGCAGCCTTAAAGGGTTCTTATAATTAGTTCTTCAGAAAGTAATTCAGATGGTATCATCCTGAGAGGAAGGATGAGTGTGTGTTAGTCCCATCAGTTATTCCTGTGCCCCTCACTTGAATTTGGGCAGTGCTTTCTTCCCAAATTCCAGAGACTGAGGAAAGTGTCCTCACGGGATCAGGCCCAGCTAGAAGGCAGCAAGCATCTCTGAAGAGAGGGTGGAATGAAGGGATGAGGAAGCAGTGTGAGGTGAGGGGTGCCTGCTTCTGGTTGTGAAGGGGCCCTGCTCCTCAGCTGGGACGTGAGCAACAGGCCTTCTGGCCCATGAGCAGGTGCTCCTGAGACAGACAGTTCTCCAGGGAAGATCAGGAACAGCTGAGGACAAAACGGGCCTTGTCTCAGGGATGGAGCTCCTTGAGAACCCAAACATTTTGCGTGTCTTTGAGTCTTTCTCTCAAGTACTTAGCACTTGGCCCAGTTCAGAATCAGCACTCAAAAAATGTGAAGGAGAAATGAGACCTTTATTATTACAGAACACTTTTCAATATGAAAAAAGTAACATGTAGGAGTAAGGAAAACCAAGGCACAAAGAAGGACCTATAGGGCCCCAGGGTTTACCAAGGACAGACAGCAGAGGCCTTCTCTTTGTATCAGGGGCAAGTGGTAGGTGGGAAAGGCTGCCTTGTTCCGCTGAAATGGGCCCAGCCACCCAGTCCAAGCAGAGCGGTGCATCAGGCCAGGAGGGTTATAACGAACTTGCTGATGTAGAGGGTCATAATCCACTTGGGCATACGGAGGAAGCCAGGCACGTAGGAGGCCAGTCAGCCAGGCTAGAGGCATGGGAGACAACCGAACTCAAACAGTCCTGGACGGGGCGGCCTGAGGACGACAGGAAGAGGAGGAGGGTTAGACCCTCATTTCCCACCGCTTGGACACCTCCAACTAGGCTGGGACTGAGTGGAATGTGAGAGAGAAAGGAACAGGGAGAAAGTGAGGGCAGAGTGAGCAGGAAACAGAAGGAAGAGAGGTCCAGGCTGGCTGCTGGCCTAGAGCTCTTACCATCAACATCCCAAAGGCCATAGCGTTGAGCAAGGTCACAAGACAGCAGCACCTTCCCACTCAGGCTGAGGATATTGGGGTCTGTGGGCACACACACAGCTGATATGGCATGGGAGTGGTGAAGGGCGACAAAGTTTGGGCCCAATGGGACAAGGCACCACTGAGACAGGTTTAGGAGCCAGAATTGTTTCTCTCTGTTCCTAACAAGGTTCCTGAGCCTCTGGCTTCTGGCCATATCTCCTAGGAGCTAGTCCTTGAAGCTCCCAATCCTCAAAAAGGGAATTATTGACCCTTTGGGTCTCCAGAAGTCAGAGAAAAGGGTTTATTCCTCAACTACCTTCTGAGCCAGGACCCAGAACTGGCTGCCACCACCCCGCAGATCCTCTAGGTCCTTTCTTGTTATCAGTTGCCCCCAATTTCTTCACCTGTTACCACACATCTGCCACTCATTTCCGTGGTCTCCCCAGATGAGAAATGAATTTTGAGCTGAAACATAGGAGCAGAGAAGGTTTGGGTTAATTTCACAGAGCACTGGCCAACTCTATTCCCTGATTATAGCTTCTGTTCCAGAACAGAGGCCCTTATCACAGCACCTGCAGGATAAGCATCTTGAAAGGTGCTGGAGCCACTCCTCCGCACATCCTGGTGAGTCTCGTACCCCAGCACCAGGACCCACTCAGATCCTAAGTGGAAGGATCTGAGGAAGCCAACTATGTTGACCTTCTAGGTTAGTGCCACGTGGTGGTCAAGACCATGGGCTGTGGAGCTGGACAGTCTTTCCACTTAAGGCATCGGTGATCTTAAGCAAGTTTCTTGCTTCTCTGGGTTTCAGTTTCACTATCTATAAAAAGGAGATACTATCTCCCTTATAGGATTAAAGGACATAACATGTGTACAGTGCTCAGCCCCATAATTTACCACCATGGTAAATACCCGGGTATTTACTTCTTGCTGTTGTTACTGTCTTGACATTAAGAATGGAGAAGCTGCCCAGCCGGGCGTGGCTCGGCGGTTGAGCGTTGACCTAGGATCCAGGCGATCGGGGTTCGATTCCCGGTCAGGGCACATACCCGGGCTGCGGGCTCGATCAATGACTCTCTCATCATTGATGTTTCTATCTCGCTCTCTCCCTCTCCTTTCCTCTCTCTGAAATCAATAAAGATATATTAAAAAAAAAGAAAAAAAAAAAGAATGGAGCTGATTCCCCTGCATTCTCTGCCACCCTTGGCCTCCCCTTGCCAACCTGCTTCAACAGGGGACTCTCAGTGTTGTCATTCTTCTCCAAATGATCCTTCAGCAGTTCTGTCTGCACCAGCCCTGGCCACAGAGGCACATAGCTAACCCCGCGGGGCTGCAGCTCCTGGACACAGTCAGCAGCCATCCTGTCACACTGTAGAGAGACAGAAGGCAGGGTGAGAGCCAGGATATCTGGCCATGTCCCCTCCCGCCCCTGCCCTCCATGCTTTGGCTGAGGATGTCCCAGTCCCATGCCCTTCTCAGGTGCTCTGTCTCAGCTGTCCACCTCTCCCAGTGCACTGCTTACTCTGCCCAGCAGAGAGGAGCCCAGGTGAAGGAACTGTCCATCGAGGGGCAGAAGGAGAGGTGATGGCCAGTTGGCCTGCCACTTTGACCACTGGGGATTTACCTCCCAAGCTAAATGGGTACCGTCACTGTCCTATACCTCCCCAACTCCTATGCCACTAGGTTCTTACCGCAGCTTTGCCACGCCATAGGGGACATTGACGATATACTGCATTCCCCCAGGGGAGGAGATGACCACGATGAGCCCCTGACCAGCTGGTACCATCAGCTGTGCCCCATACACTGAGCACAGGTAGTGGCCTCTAGAAGGTGGGGCAAGGAAGGAACAGACTGTGTTCAGTGCTGGCCATGGTGCTGTAGCCTTGGCAGCTCCCTCTGCCCTCTAGTGGCTATAGTCAGCCAGGAGAAGGCAGCAAAGGGGTGGCCGCAGACCTGGAGAACTGAGGGCTTAAGGCCACCTTCTGGGAGGAATACTGGAAAAATTAACCACTGAAGGATGAGAAATGGCACTCTCTAGAAGATGTAATGGAAGAAAAGAGCTCTGTCATAACAGCAATAACAAACCTAAAGTAACTTGGGGAGAAAACATAAAAAATATATATGATCTACATGAAAAAAAATATAAAATCCTTCCTAATATAAAACAACAAGTACAGGCATAATTTATTCAGAGGAATCAACATGTAAAACATCAGTGCTACTTCAACTAGTCGATTCAGTCAATTTAAGTTAGATATCAATAAGACTTTTGGAGGAACTGACAAAATAATCTAAAGCCCAATGAGAATAAACATGGGATAGCTAGGAAAGTTCTGAAAAAGGAAGCGTAGTATCTGTGGGTGGGGTGGTATGCTCCCCCATCTCGCCACCCCATGTTAAAATGTATAACAGTTGCCCAGCCGGGCGTGTCTCAGCGGTTGAGCGACGACCTGGGATCCAGGAGATCCGGGTTCGATTCTCGGTCAGGGCACATGAGCGGGTTGCGGGCTGCAGCCATCAATGACTCTCTCATCATTGATGTTTCTATCTCCCTTCCTCTCTCTGAAATCAATAAGGATATTTTTAAAAATGTATAATAGTTAAAAGAATGGAGTACTAGTATAACAATACACAGAGAGTCAACGAAACAAAGTAGTCAATAATTAGGTCCAACCGTAAATGAGAATTCAGTAAATTATAAAGGGAACATTTCAAATCAACAGGGAAAGGGGGATCATTCAGTAAATGAATTTGGGACAACTGGTCACTTATTTGGTAGGTGGGATCGGCTGTCTAACTCACTTATAATTTCAAAATGCATTCCAAAAGGATAAAGTATTTGAACATAAAAAAATAAATGCACAAAAGCACTAAAAGCAAGCGTGACAATGTGTTCATAAACTTGAGGTGGGGAAACTTGTCTTAGCATCACACCAAGATAGATACTATAAAAGACTTGACTTTATATATATATATATATTTTTTTTTTAATTTATTTTTTTTTAATTTATCTTTATTATTGAGAGTATTACAGGTATCCCATTTTTCCCAATTGATCCCCTCTACTTTGCTCCCACCCCCTTCCCAGGCCTTCACCCCGTTATTAACTGTGTCCATGGGTTATGCATATAACTTCTTTGGTTAATCTCTTCCCAACCTCCACCCTTATTTGACTTATTAAAAATTAAGACATATATTTAAACATACAAATACATACACCTATATGTGTGTATGTATATAGAGAAAGCTGGGGAGAGCATGTATGCAAAAAGTAGTAATAAATTGAGAAAAATTATTTGTAAAACATATATCAAAAGAACCTATTACATGAGGATCTCTTATAAATTGATGTAAAAAGACTATATTAATAACACAACTCACAAAAGAATAAAGAGCCAGCCAGAACAAGTGGCAGCACATACGCTTTTGGGCAGTGAGAGTGCCCAGGGCCTGGCCTGGCTGCTTTGGCGCTCGGTCAGAGGCTGCCCCATTTCTGTCCAGCCCGCAGGCTCCAGACCCAACAGTCAGCCCTGGTGGCTCATCCTCGCAAGCAGTCGCCACTTAGAGGAGGCAGCATAAGGAATTAATCTTATTACCAGTGGCATTTAAATATTTATAAAATTTAAAAATTGTAACTTTAACTTCAGTTCTCTGATTCATGAATCGTCAAAGAAAGCAGAGAGCATAGGATCTACAAAAGGGGCAGGTTTGGGTAGATTTGAAGACTGATACTAAAACAACAGCTGGTTCCTGTTCTCACAGAACTTAAAGTTTAGTGAGGAAGATAAAAGCAAACAAGCAAGCAACAAAGATCTGTTTGAGATATGGTTTCAGCAAGGCCTCGGTTTCCTTCCTTCAGCCCTTGTAACTGGGACGACTGCTGCTTTCACATTTTCATGCATACTGCCATGACTCTCCATCGTGTTGACCCTGCTTTGCCTTGTATCAGTGACACTGGCACAGTAGCCCCAGAAAAGTGCCTGTTTGGGGCAATGTTATATTTCACCGCAGTTTTATGTGTTGCTACCATTTATGTTCATTGTAAGTAAGTTCATGCTCTGAATCCTGAAGGGAAATGTAGCACCAGATCAAACCAGGCTTGCCCTGTACTTGGACTGCTGAGTTGTTTGGGGCTTTTTGTTGTGGCAAACTTCTAGAAAACAACCTTTTTTACTGTATACGTATGTGAAGCTGTGCTCACCTTTGATATGGGCTTAATGTGTATGTTTGTTCAGACCATCCTTTCTTTTTTCTTTAAAAAAATATATATTTTTATTGATTTCAGAGAGGAAAGGAGAGGGAGAGAGAGAGATAGAACCATCAACGATGAGAGAGTCATTGATCAGCTGCCTCCTGCACGCCCTCGACTGGAGATCGAGCCCACAAACCCAGGCATGTGCCCTGACCGGGAATCGAACCCCAATCGCCTGGATCCTAGGTCGATGCTCAACGGCTGAGCCATGCCCGGCCAGGTGGGACCAGCCTTTCTTACCAAATGCAGTTCAAAATTCATGGCAAACAAATCTTCTGGATCAGACTATTGTTGGTTTTCTGGTGGGGCGTAGGTGCATTTAGCATGCTGGCTTGCTCATCAATATTGTACAGCGGCAGTTTTGGCACAGATATAGTACGGAAACTGCACTGGAACCCTGAGGACAAAGGTTATGTGCTTCATGTGATCATTACTGCAGCAGAATGGTCTATGTCATTTTCCTTCTTCCATTTTTTCCCTGATTTATATCTGGGATTTTCAGAAAATTTTTTTACCAGTATAAGCCAGTTTACATGGATTAACCCTCTAGGACATTGCTCCTTGTCCTACTAACAATGAACGAACAGATCTACTTTCCAGAGATTTATGATGAAAGGATAAAATTTTCTGTGATGATTATGATTCTTGGGGCTTGAGAAAATACTCATAAATTACTTCTCCTGCTCTGAAATTTTCCACCAATTAATCAAGGCTGACAGTGACATTGATGGGTCCTGATAACCAAGACACGAATTAAGCCATTTTATAAATTATTTTAAAGGATATCTTCAAGAGGATTGTGTAGAAACACTTATGGCTAGAAAATAAAACCAAAGGACTATTTAAAAAAATAAAAATAAAGTGCCAATAAATAAATGAATAAAAAGCTCAACTTCACACACACACACACACACACACACACACACACACACACAAATTAAAACCACCTTTAGATGTCTTTGGCCTATCAGAGTGGCAAAGCTTGCCTGAGTCGCCTGGTTGTTTAGCACAGTAGAGGACATAGAAAAGATATTCTCCTTCATTGTAATGAGTTTATAAATTGGTGGGGTCTTTTTGGAGGACAGCTTGATAATGTTTATTAAATCTTTAAGAAGTATATATTTTTTCCAAGAATTCCACTACTGCAATAGATAAAGGATTAGATAAATAAATTATGGTACCTACTCTGAGTCAAATATTTAAAAGAAAGGTACAATACTAGACTATCAACAGTAGCTTAATCTCAGTCAAGGGTGGAAGGGGTGGTGATGAGAGAGTAAGATCATACTGACTTTCACATTTTTCCATAATTTTAAAAAATTATACAAACTTGGTAACCAAAAAAAATTTCTTTTGCATGGGAAACTGGAACTTTCAAATGAAAACAAGTAGAGCTATGGTTTTGAAAGGAAGCCCAGCCTAAGGTAATATAGAGGAAAGGCACAGCAAATGTGTATGTGAATGTATGTGGGAGAGGTGAGAGGAGATGGTGGTGGGCTTCCAAGAGGCTCACAAAGTGACCTTTACACCTTGGAGAACTCATCATGCCTGGGCATTTGCCTTGTAGGCTGAAACCCTGACCAGCAAGAGATGAGTGTGAAAGGCCCCTCTATCTGGAGAGCTAAGGATGTGGGTGTTGCCTATTTCCAGCTGTTTGCATTTTCTTTTCTTGCCACTTGGCTAACCATCTCTCTGTCCTCATAATCTTCCTTCTACTTTAGAAATCACAACTAGATTCTCATTCTTTTCTTTTTAAAAATTTTTTTTTATTGATTTCAGAGAGAGGAAGGGAGAGGGAGAGAGACAGAAGCATCAACGATGAGAGTCACGAATCAGCTGCCTCCCGCAAGCCCCCGCTACTGGGGATCAAGCCTGCAACCCGGCCATGTGCCCTGACTGGGAATCGAACCTCAACCTCCTGGTTCATGGGGTGACGCTCAACCACTGAGCCATGCCGGCCGGGCTGGATTGTCATTCTGCTTCCTTGAGACTGCCACTAGAAGCCATGGGTGTTTTTAAACACTTTAGTCTCAGATTTGCAGATAATATCTTAGTTACTCCCCCAGGTCATATTCAGGGAGTGTAGCTTATGAGAGCACCATAGTTCCAAAAATAATAAACACAGACATTACTGGTGTACATCATGCTGAGCAAACTAAATGCTGTGTTTTACCTCACCCCTGTACCACATGTACATGTAACCCTGTGACACCCCTGCCCTCCCAACTCTGACCTGGAAGTGCCCTTGCCCATGGGTCTGGATTGAGGATCTGGAGGCTAGGATGGATGGCACTCACTCTTTTTTATTGACCTTCTCTTGATCTAAAAGCAAAACAATTTCTTCCTCTATCCATTTTTGGAAATATTGGCTATGGATGGTGTGCATTACTGAGGGAAAGAGCTCCCTTCTGGGTCATACACTTGGATGGGCAGAAAGTGAGGCAGGAGAGAGGCAAAGTGCAAGGTCAGATGAAAATTACTGACAGAAACAAGATAAAAGTTGACATTCCCAGGTACAGATTCACTTGGATGGAACTTCTCGAGGTGAATGGGACAAATGGGACAAAAAGGAGAAGAAAGAGATGGGAGGTCAGAGGGAAAAAGGCAAGGGGATATGGGGAAAGATCTGGGCCCTCAGCCTGGTGAAATGAATGAGAGGAGCCAGGCCCTTACAGTGGGGCAAGGACACCTACCTGAGTCCAACATTGTTGATATCATCCCAAATGGAGGCAGGGCTTTCCCAGAATGCCTTCTTATCATTGTCCAGGATTGTCTGGAAAGCACAGGGGGAGTGATGGATTGGATGGTCTGAAGGCAGGAAGGTATGAGGGGCAGGATCATGGAAGGGACAATGAGTGGGGATAAAGACTCAGGGGTCACAGTTGGAAGTCAGGACTGTGGAACTGATATCAAAGTTCAAAGGGTACCTGGACCCCAGCATAGGCGTTGTTGACCAGCACATCCAATCGCCCGTGCTGTTCTCTATCTACTTGCTCAAACAGTTTTCGCACTTCACTCTCCTGGCTTGAATCACACACCACAGGCACGCACTTGCCCCCTCGGGATTGCGCCTGGAGAGAGACAGGATATGAGCTCACAGTTGCACAGAAGTGTACACATAACGCAGCTTCCCTCAACTCCCAGCTTGGGAGCTGAGGCGGCCAACATGGGAATCAGTCAGCAGCTGAGGGAACATGGTTGGTAATATCGCCCTCTGATGTCTGTGTGAGGAATTTCAGGCCACTTCCATCTCACATGCCCTTTGCTCCCACAGTTTATCATTCATGCAGAACTCTTACTCAATTCCCAGCCCTCTTACCCTCACTCCACCTGTGCTCCTACCTGGTAACAAGGAAATCAAAGCTCTCAGGCATGAGCTATTTCTACTTCCTATTTAGTATCAGCTTCTACAAATGTGTCCCATCCTCTAACTTCAGAGGAAGAAGCGTACCTTATTCAGGAACAGGCCTATTCTCCAAATTCATACTCTGGGTGCAACCCTCTTACCTCCTTACCTCCTAAGTGCTCACATGACCGCTAGTCTTTCTGCCTTATATTAACTCTTCATATCCCAGCCAGATAGTATAAACTATCTGAAACACAAATCTGTTTTAAATCCTCCAACCGGATCACCATCTCTTCGAGAATAAAGCCAAAGTTCTATACCGGGGTCTTCCAAGACCTGTTCTGTTTCCTCTCCAGCCTCTCACCTACCACTCCTGCTTTGTACCTATATGCTTTGGAATTCTTTCTCACAATATCCATACTCTTTCACCATTGTCCCTCTGCTTATGAAGTTCCCTTTGCTAGTATGGTTGTCTTAGCTTTTTTGACTTAACCCTTACCTTTCAAGACTCAGTTCAAGAACTACTTCCTCCAGAATGCTTTCCCTATTCTCCCATGTCATTTCAAAACCCACCCCACGATGCCAAGGCATTCTGCGCACATTTGCCTCTTATCACTTACCATGTTCACATTACACTGAAATGAACCGTTTCTGCCTCTGGCTAGACTCTAGCTTTTAAGAGCAGAAGTTATATCTTATTAATCTTGGTAACCCCAGTGCTTCACCCAGTGCCCAGCATATCAAGTGTACTCAAGTATTTATTTTACTGAAAACCAGCAGAAAAGTAAAAATGTACAGTTCAATAAAGTCTTGAGGAAAGCACAGGTCCACAGTCTTTAGTTGCAATTCCAAAATCCCTAAAGCTTTCAAACAGTTGTGAGGTGTGTTTTTTTGTTTTTTGTTTTCCATAAAACTCACTTGGTGGTAAATTTGACTTGATCTGGAGTTATTTATGGGGTTCATCTGGCCCACTCTGAGAAAATATTCACATTTTATTTAGGAATATTATGGTTTCAGAGGAGTGGTTAATAGGAAGGGATCCCGCAAGTGGTTTCTGCCCCTTTGGTCCCAGAGGAAGCACTCACATCTTCAGCTGCAGCCCGCAGCGTGTCCAGATGTCGGCCAGTGATGCAAACTGTAGCACCGGCTTGGCAGAGCTGCAAGGCGATGCCACGACCAATAACCCTGGAAGTACCAGTCACTACGCACACTTGGCCCTTCATGGGAGCTGCCATGTATGACTCAAAAGCAAAGGGGTATAATCTGCGGAAAGATGTGCTCTGAGGGAAGCCCGCATATTCTGAACGTGAAGGGAGACTACCCCCTACCCCCATTATGGTAGGAGGGGCAGCTATGGTGGGGAGCTATGCTTTGAGGGGAGAGAAGTTTCAGAGGCGTACAACTGGGTGCAGGCCCTAGGGCAAGGCAGGCAGTTCGTTTTGGGATTCCCAGAAGTGAAGGGGCAGGTGGGGCTGTCCAGGGCGGACACCTACTGGGCTCTGCGTGAGGCGGGCTGGGTGGAAGATTCCGCCGCAGCAGGCCCTCGTGGAGCGCCCACGCAGAGTCCTGGGCATCCCGAGCTCTGGCCCCTGGCCTGGCCCAGTCAAGCCGAACCTGGGGGCGCGGCTTTTGGGTCAGAGGTGAGCCAAGGTCCAGGAACCCTGAGCCCCACTGGGAGGAGTTCGTGTCCCTTACCGGTCGCCTTTGCCGCTTGTGGAGCTCTCGCCCTACCTCGCTCACAAAGCTCTGAGTCGCGACCTTTCATTCCGGAAGCGGGGGCGAGCCCAGGTGACTGGTGTGAGCAGCGGCACTGCCCCGGGCGGGCAGAGGGAGGCGGGGCCACCTGTGTTTTCAGTCAAT